TTCTTCTTCTTCTTCTTCTTCTTCTTCTTCTTCTTCTTCTTCTTCTTCTTCTTCTTCTTCTTCTTCTTCTTTCCATGTTACAATCAAACGTTTATAAAGTAAATAAAGTACGCGTGTAAGTGTGTGATGTGTGTTTGTCTTCGTATTTGCATGTGAGAAAAAAAATATGAGAGGTTGCTCTTCGTAGTTTTGTGTGAATAAGTGGACATTACGATGTGGAATTTTTTAAGTTACGGTAGCAAAGATTTTGAGAACAATAAAGCGATTAGACCTTTTGTCGATACTTTTAATACATTGTAATATGTATTTGTACAACAACAAATAAATAATGAAAACAGACAATCTCTTCAAAAACTACAAGCATGTACATTGTTTCACATTATGTTCTTTTGACAGTCTTCAGAAGAGCAGCTTAACAACAAAAGGGATGACATTTTTAAAAACCAAGAATCATCCTAACAGTGTGTAGCCAGTGGATAATAACATAAAGGTAAAGGATTATCTACAGTCATCATTCAAATTCATTATTAAAGCCTTTCACCCCCGGCAGGATATAGGCCACATACCAGCTCCTACAACTTGTCTCTGTCCTGGGACATTCTTCCCAGCTCGTCCCAAGTGGGCTTCATCTCTCTCATGTCTCTTTCCACACATCTCCTCCATGAAAAGTCATCATTACACTTCCTTAAATATGTCACGTTACTTAACGACAAGACTTAAAGAAATGTTATTGGATTTGCTCTTCCCTTGGGAAATATCAATTATTTGGGAACATCCTGCATTCCTTCAAGCTTCCTCATCACTTGTTGTATAATAAGCACTAGAACTAGAGTAGTTACTGTTGCGAAAGCGTTGGTTTGCTTCCAATATGAAATAATGGTTATCGGGATCGAGGCCGCTTGGGCGAGTCGCGGTATTGGCTGCAGTGACATTATCGGCGAAGTGAGGTTGAGAATTGTCGTGGCCTGACCGCCGATGGAAATTTGGGTTTTCTACTTTCAGAAGTCGTTTAGACATGTCTTTATGGCTGGAAGTTTTCAAATCAGATGGGCAAACCCTGTTGTTGTAGTCTGGCTTTTTCTTCCGGAGGGTGGAATCCCGGGAGATATCAGCTGAGCAGTTTGATACGTGGAGCACTGCCCGAGTAGTCTCTGTTTGATTGGATGTAGTCTCGTCTTGAGAAGCAGCTATGGTGCTCTGGGATCGTTCATGTGAACTGTGGCTGCTGTAACTGTCATTCGCACCAGTTGTTTTTGGGTACGTTTGGGTCATATGGCAGTCTGAGTCGAAGCTGGTGGCGGGAGAAATACGAGCAAGGGGACTCCGGCAGTTGGGGGAGAGTGGTGTTGGAACATTCTCTCCCGCCGCGACGACTGAAGGAGTGGGAACAGGAGGTAAGGGGCCGAGTTTGGACAAGATTCGAGCTGTTTCGGGGGTCATTTCGAACGGCTTGACAACTGGGCGCACCCGCAGGCTGCTGCTGAACGAATCACTTCTCTTCTTCGGTTGGACACTCGTCTTTTGAGAACAGGCAGGGTCCTTGAAGCTCTCCGATTTTTTCAGCAGAAAAGCAGGACGTAGGCTGTGTGTTGGTTTTTTAATATTTTCGTAATTTTTTAACGAAGTTCTGCGAGACAACGGATTTTGTTTTGAAACTTTGCCCCCAGTGTTTTCGCTAACAGTTAAACGTTTGGCCAAAAACTGCTGGGGATCTCTTACGGGCTCAAGAATGAAATTGTCCAGCGGTGTGCTCAGATTAGTGTCTTGAGGCAGTAAAGATGCAATCTGCAAAGGGACGTTTCTAAAAGGGAAAGACTTGGGTTCGTTCGTATCATTCTTGGAATGCTGTACTGCAGAAGTGTGTTCCTGCTGGAAAATGTAATAATAATTTGCTTCAGTGGCCTTGAGAGAGCTTGTCTCCTCTGATATTTCGTACAAAGAAATCTGACACACGAGTTTCCCAGGCTGTTTAGGAATTTCTGGGACTACTTTGTTGGTCTTCGTTGTTTCAGCACACTGGCAAGGAATGCCCTGTATGGCGACGTTAAGGGCGTTGTGCGACCAAACTGGAGCCTGGCTGTTTTCGGGGCCCTGGAGAGGTTTAGCGGTTCCAAAACCAGATGTCTGATTGCGTCCCAGGCTCCTTAGCTTCTCTTCCTCATACTTCAGCTTCCAGTTTTTGTCTAGAGTTTCGTAAATTCGTTCTTCTTCCTCTTCCTTTGAGCCACCTAAAGTGGCAAATTGCATCGGTTGACAAGCCAAAACAGAAACGCACTGGCTAGCTGATGCAGATGCGGGAATGTTACATGGAACTCTCTCATTATTGGAGGAAGCGAAGTCAAAGCTTCTGGGAGAGCCATGAGCAAGAGAACTTGCGGACGAGACAAAAACTGAAGACTTGGGTTTGGAGGATGCATTCTCCCCGTTTCCACCCGGGACGTGGTGGGGGTATATTTCATCACATCTTGAAGACATGGGCTTTTCTTGATGGCGAAATGGGCTGCTCTTTACCTGTGAAAAAGAAAGCAAAAGAAAGATGCCCACTCCTGTTTGAAAAAGACATGATAGATCTATGACTACTGATTTATTCTTTTTTTTGTTTTTCATCGCCCCCCCCCTTTCCCCCGTGCCCTATTTCCGCCTCTGCCGCTCTCTCTCTCGCTCTCTTTCTCTCTCTCTCTCTCTCTCTCTCTCTCTCTCTCTCTCTATCTCTCTCTCTAT